CTAGGAAGCTGGCTCACTTATTAGGTTTAGTTGTAATTTATGGGGTTCTTAATGCAAAAAAAGAAGTCAAATAGTCTTCAGACAGATAAATACATTTTTTTCTTACTTTTGTTTTTGTTTTTTTGCTTCACCTCTTAAGTTACTATCCACTAACATAGAACAAAAGAGAACTTTTTAAAATACTAAAAAAATGAAAAGGAAACAGGAAATGCATCATTGAGAAAAAGATGTTATCTTTCTATCCAAAAGAGTGGAAACTTATGAACCTTTCTTAATACTGCAATTCTTTCTACACTACAGTTGCGCAAGTTTTATAAATGTCACTGTCAAAGAGCAGTTTCAATTCACTTTTTCCAAACATTGGGGAAAGAACAGCCATCTTACTTTAATTTGGTTCTGTGTCAGTCATAACTTGACTGGCATTAGCTTGGTGGCAACAAGCTCAAGGTTATGGGTTCAGTTCCTATGTTGTCTACTTAGCTTTTCTCAGAGGAAATGGCACCAAAGCCTGAGACTATACATGTTTATTTATCACCCAGACACTTAGGACAACTGACCTTCACTATTGCCAAACAGCTCAAAATGTCATCTTAAAACCAAAGCTCAGCCTGTCACAGTTGTTAGGAGTGACACTCTTTAAACAAAACTTACCCTACTGTGATGTAAAATGAAAAGTTCTAGACTTAAGGAAGCACAAAATAGCCTCCCATTTGCTCTACCCCAAGGAGTATTTATTGTCTCAGATTACTCCCTACTTTTGGGGGCAGAGAGTTTGTCTTTCATTTACTTCCTTATGGCCAGTATTCATGACAGAGCCTGGTGCTCAATATATATCACATGCAACTCACAAAAAAGCCATATGCTCTTATAAAGCAGAAGACATCTATCTCAAATGGACACTGAGCATTTAGCAAACTTAACATATTGATGTCTGAAAGGTGGTCCCAAGACTAGAAGCCTCAACATCATCTGGGAGGAAACATGTTAGAAAAACAGATTCTCTGGCCCTATAAGAGGTCTAGGTCTACTGAGCCAGCACCTCTAGGGACAAGGTCTTGCACATACATTCTAACAAGCCCTCCATGTGATCCTGGGGCATACCACTATAACCCAGAAACGACACTCTTTCCCATACACAGCTTCAATTTGCAGCATCAGCTCTAAACAAAGTAAATCCAGCAGTTTTAGTACAGATACACTCATCTATCTCTTGGAATGAATATCTGAAAAACAGCTTTCTATGTAAAACAGATTTGTGGACCAAGACAATTTGATCACTGATAGGCACTTTATATAACTTTATTATATTTCATAATGTGAGACAGAAACATTAATTAAAATATTCAGAAATGTTTTATAGAAATAATGAATTTTAAATGAGATATTGAGCAATGGATTATAATTATAAGGCTTCCTTCCAGATCACCCCCTTTGATGACACAACTAAGTAGAACTTGTTTAGTGAACAGAAATAGTGTGATCTGATGTTAATTAATCCTCATACCAAGTTCTAAAGACCTCCTTTGTTTTTCTTTACTCACTGTAAATTATTCAGAAACTCACTGGGATTCTTCATTATTTTCAATGAGCTAAATAATACCAAAGTAGAAAATTCTATGACTCATAAGAGCACCGAGGGCCTATAATGTTCCAAAACCAACATTTTCCCTGATGACAGACAGTGAGGAGGAATGAAACAGATGCTGAATCCAAAACGCTCTTGACAGACCAGAAGAACAGGTTGAATCAAACAAAACAGTATTTAGGAAGATGAAAATAAACTTCTACACCTGGGTTAAATACATGCACTTGGGTGTAAATTTGGAAATATCTGACTCAGCAGCATGGTTTACTAAAAAATAAAAAGACTTCATTTGCAGTAAACTCCCCATGAGCCAACACTTCATCCACTGTCACCTGAAAACAATGTGACATTAGGATGTTATGGCAGAAGCAGTGTCTAAAAGCAAAAATTCTGTTGTGTGCTGATCTTGCCTGCACTTAGCACATTTGAAGCATCCACATTCATTTCCAGACCCACACTGTATGGAACAGGGAAGATAGGGCTGTCACTAGAAACCATGATCTCTGTCAGGTAAATGCTGTAGCTGTGCAGTAGATGGAGGACGAGAAGACTCAGGCCTGGGTCAAGGCATGCTAGCTAGCTTCACATATGGGAAGGGCTGACATAGAAAGAGGGAACCAGGGGTGAAGCTTAATGCCAGTGAGTAGAAGCGTGGTTCCATAGAAGATAGAGTAAAGCAGAGGAGGAGTTGATATGGTAGTTTTTCCTGTGACTTTGGCTGGACAATCATACACAATTATTTAATCAGATGTTACCGTTGGCATTACTGTGAAGCTGTTTTGTAGACGTCGTTAACCTCTATAGTCAGATGACCTTAAGTACAGAAGATTAACCTTAAAAATGTGAGTGCATCTCATCTGGAAGACCTTTAGCACAAAAGCTAAGGTTTCCTGGAGTGAAAGCAATTTTGCCTTAAGATCATACTGATTTGCTCCTTCTTGGGTTTCCATTTTGCCAGCTCGATCTACTCTGTTTTTGCCTGCCCCACCTGAAATAAATAAGTGAATGAATGAAAGAATACAAGTGTGTATTGTTTGTGTGTGTTTGTGTGTGTGGTGGTGATTCTTTCTTTGAAGCATACAGTTTGATACCCTTATCGAGCATGGGAGTGGGACTACTGAGTTTCTGTCCCTGGAGACATGCAATGAAGAAAGCTGAAGAAACCATTTTGGTTATAATACAGAGACCATTTGAAATGTATTAAGAGCTTAATATATTAAGAGCTTAATAAAGTTATAAAGCATGTATATCAAACTAGACCACATAGTCTAACTTAATTTATTTGCCTTATTGAAGATCTTGTCTGTGTCAAATACTGTGTGAGGTTGTGGGGATAAATCACGAGCAGAAAAGGCCTTTGCTCTGCCTTTTTGGAATGTTGTGAATCTTATTGTGTGTGCAGGGTGCAATGCTAGCTACTTTGGATAATAACAGAAAAAGATGGTGTCCTAACTGAATCAAATTTATTTTAAGAGTGTAGGGGAATATATAGACACATATGCTTATAGATTTGAGAAACATTTATCAAATAAATTTAAATGTTTTAAAACTTTCATTTTAAATAGGGATAAGATTAGATTATCTGAAATTTCTATCACATTCCATGATTCCATCTTCATAAGGCCTAGCTCTAAATTATTTTCCTGAACTCTCCTCCCTGCTTGTCCTCCTTACATTCTGATCCAAAAAAAAAAAAAAAAATCCTGACTCAATGTCTGTTTATTTAACATATTTGAAAGTGCAAATTCCTGAAACATAGAAATGACAACCTCTGGACAATCTGCAATGTGATGGGCTCAGGGGCTGCTGTTCAGTGCTGGACATCCAGCCTCCAATGATGGACAGCAGAAAACTCCCCAGAATGCTTTCTAAACACAAATCAAGGGACATGGGGGAGAATGGCATGTATTTTAACAACAAGAACGCCACAGCATGAAGACCACATTTGTAGCACACTAGGAATTTTTCAAAATACCTTCAAAGCCTGCATCACTATTTAAAAAAAAAAAATGGAGCAAACAAAGATGTCATTTGAAAGAAGATTAAGAGACATGGATGGGATAAAACTGAAGCTTAAACCCGAATCCTTTCAGTCAGTTCAGTTGGATGCTTTTTTGATTTGCACAGATTGACACAACATAGTGTAACATATTCTCTGTTGATAACAACAAGAAACATACTCATTAGCAAAAGATGATTCATTCATTTTCTTACACTTGATCTAAAGCTATAGCAAATGGAGTACTGCATTACAGGTGGTGAGACTCTTGTATTGATTGATAACATACCCAGTCCTCTCAAGGGACTGCATTGGTTATTCATTGATAAATGGAAATTTCTTATAAAAACAAAACTCATCAGGATTTATACAGTTCACATTATGAAGTTCTAATGGGCATATCATTTCTTAATATAGGGTGTTTAGGAAGATGTAGAAAATAGGTGATGTAAAATGAAAACATTTAGTAGCAAAGTCACAAGAGCTTTGCAGAATCATAAGTGGGAAAATAGAGCTGCTCGAGCACCAGCCAGCAGGTGACCTTGCTTATTCCATGCTGAAACATAACCTATTTCAGACTTCCTTGTCTTTAGAATATAGCTACTTTCATTTTTAATGGGATGGAAGAAATTATGGCTGTTTTTCTGAAACCACATCAACTTCCAAAGGCAGCTGTAGCAACAGAGATGCATTTGCACTGGAATTTTGGCTTCAAGGCCAGTACCACCTTGAAAATTTGGCTGATTTCCTCTAACCCATAAGTTGGAATAATACCAGGAATAAAAAGGGGAATTACAAGGATGATTTACAATTTTCTTCATTCCCTTCCCTCAAAGTTAGTCTGTGTCAGTTGCCAGGAAAACAAGTCAAGATGAAATGGAACCAATTGACAATTGATAATTAACTACAGGAAAATATTTCAACAAATAAATTGACCTAGGTTAAAAATAAAGGACAATTGAATTTCAATAATATGTTTCAGTAGAAAAAGCAGCAACAGATATGACCTTTATGACCTTTTGGCTTTGAAAAAACAGTTCTTAGTTTTGTTTTCCATTATTGTTTCCTCCCTAGATTCTACTATTTTTCTTTAGAGAAAAGCCTAAGAATTGTTCACTAGCTACCTGCAATATGTTCACTCACCAATACAAAACTAAATTTTTATGATTTTAATTTCCCCCCCTTTTCTTTTTCTAATCCTTCATGAATGCCATTCCTCATCTTTCTTTACTTCTTGGGCATGCAAGGAAGATCAGCATAACTTATGCCTTGCACAGGGGTCTGAGTTTTATACATACCCACAAGAATATTCCTGCAGTTTGAAGACACCCTTTTACTCCATTTGGAGTAGAAGAAGCAAATGAAAATCCACTCATCTACGCTGTTTGTCTCCTTTTGTGTTTGTGTCTTTTGCAGGGAAGGGAAGGTATAAATGTGTGAAAGCCACAGCTAACCATATCTCCATATTTAACGCCAACAGAATGACTTTTGTTTTTTTTAAACTGAGGTAAGATTGGTTGACAACACTGTATATGACTTAGGGGAATAGATTCACATTTCCAGAATGACTTTCTCTAGCTCTAATCTAAACTTGTGTCAGTGCTACCATCCTCCTTTGGCTCAGTCCATTAGAAAACAATTGTTCCTTTAACTACCAGCTACACAAGAAACCTCATTTCTGGTAATCCTTCAGTTTCAACTTCCTAGGAAATGATTACACACACACACACACACACACACACACACACACAGTCAGTATATCTCTCGCTCTCTCATGGAAGTTCTACATCTTCCTGAAATACAATCTGTTCCCTTGTTACCTAGACAAAGAAAATTTACTATTAAGGTTATATAATCTTAAAACAAGAATGATCAAGAAGTTGAAGAGCTGACTGGAACTATAAAAGGAAAAGTGAGGCTCAGGGGAGGTGTTAATGCTCGGTGCTGTAGTGTGCACCATGGAGGCGATTTCCATCACTGCAGTCATCAAGCTGGACCTGAAGCCCAGGTGTTACTGAAAGCATGGATCAGCTTGCTGTATTTTTCCGAGGAGTTCATTTTAGTGACTGATTTTAGCAGGAGAATAATTTTTACATTAAAAAAATATAGATATATTATGGATTAATACTAAATTCTGCACACATTTTATGTAATTAATAAAGTGTGTCAAATAATTACATGAGTGTAATGAGATGCTTACAGAACTGAAAACATCCAGATCTGTGCACTCTTCCCTTAGAACTACTTTGACAGCAATACTTCAGAAACATTATCCTGCCCAGTTCAGTTTGACTACAGGGGTGAACTGGAATATATTTACCTAGGTAGGTAGAGAAAAAGTTCTAAACACAAAGGAATTTTATATCATAAGGAAACTGACCTAGCCAAGATGCTATTGGTTTTGTTATGTTGCATTTTTTTTTTTTTTGGATAATATGTAAGCGATCTGATAAACATCCACCAGCCCTAAAGTACACAGATATGCTAAGGAAGTATTTGATGCTTAGTAGAAAAGTCACATTTAAAATTAGAATTACCCAGTTTCATTTAAAATTAAAATGAAAATAAGCTTTTCAAAACTTTTTATAATTTAGAGAGCAAAGAACAGGCAAGAATAAGGAAAAAAAATCATTTTTCTTTGTGCCAAGGGAAAAAAAAAATCACAGGCTTGTTTGTATTTGACAGCCAGTTTATAGCCCAGCAATCTAAGTCTATGAACTTAAACCTTCACGGATGAGTGCATCAATTGGCTTTTGAATTAGAGGATAGCATTACTCAATTAACACTGAGACTAGCCCTTTCAAAAAATATATTTAGCTGTGGCACATGATACTTCAATTCTGAAATGAGAATGTCAACTGTAAAACTAAATGTTAAATTTCATTTGTTTTTCTCTCATCCCCTCCCACACTTACTACAAATTTGAATAATATGAATCCAGGAAACATTTAAATAAATGTGGTGTGCACTTTAGGTTTTATGGCAGGTCTGATTGCTTTAATTACTTGGAGTCTGACAACTCACAGGCTCACACACACAAGTATGGAAATCCTGTTGTACTTGTTACTAGTGCTTTACCTTTAGCCAGTGAAGGGAAATGTTGACTCTGCTGAAGCAGAAGATGGAAAGGACCATAAAATCATGTTGTTCTACTTTTGCAGCATCCCCAAAGTGGGGATGCTAAGTCAGCAAGTCCCTAAGGCAGTGAGCAAACTCACTTTAAGACAAAACTGCTAGGTATCGTTAGACAGAAAAAAGAAGAATCCTCTCAACACAAAAGACCATGAAATAGACCCTCCCCTAACACACACATGTTTACCAGTGCTCCTTAGTAATAATAGCACATTATTAAATTTTGTCCATGTTGACATGTACATACAGTCCTGTTCTGGTTAGCGTTACATTCTCTTTTAAACATCGTGTGCCTATTACCAGGGCTTGTGAATCCATCTACCACATACTAGAAGCCCTTCCAAATGTAAGGGTGTTAGTTTATTGATGTTATTAACATATTTATTGCTGTCCAAGCTTTCCAAGATATGCCATGAGAAGTCTTGTAATGATCACTACTGGGCAAGCTCTATGGACATTAACCAGATTTTGGATTCAAGTGAGAGACAGTGAGAGAGAGAGAGAGAGAGAGAGAGAGAGAGAGAGAGAGAGAATGTGCATGTGCACTCTTATGCATGCAAGTGTGTTTTGAGGGTGTGCTAAGTAGCAATACAAAGATTTTTTTTTTGTAAGCTTCCTTTTGCTGAAAACCAAAATACTCACTTGCATGTAAATATATCCTTGACTGTGTGTTTCCCTAGAGAACTTAGGAATTAAAATGAGGATATTTCAAAAATGGTAGTAATGTAACCTAAGCCATGAGCCCTTACCAGGTGCCAGGTGCCCTTCTAACAAACTTGGATATAGATAATAACTCATTCAATGGTAACAACAACTCTTTGAGATGGACATTCTTATATTCCCTTACATTTGAGAAAATTGAGAAGTTAAGTATTTTACCAAAGTTGCCAAGTTCACACAGCTAATAAAGTACAGAATTGGGAGCAAGACCTCACTGTGTGACTGCAGAACTCATGCTTTTAACCCCAAGTTATACTCGTCTCTGTTAGCAGATGAGCAATCTGGTCTTATTTACCCCAAATTCCAATATGGTATTGAATGTGGGGAAACGTAAGAACTGAGACCTCTGAAGCAATTCACACAGGCCCCGCGAAAGCAGAGAGCTATTTCCACCATTCCAAGCTGGCTCCTAGCGATGCTGCTGCTACTGGGTATTTGGAGAAAAGCAAGTTATTTGATCTTACCAGGGGAGACCATGATGATTTGGGGGAGACACTAGAGTAAAGGAGGAGTGCTATCACATTCCAGCAGGTGTAATTTATTACTTATAAAAGACTGACTTGTCTGTACTACAGGGATGTGGATGTGTGCAAATGTGTAGGCAGAGATATCATATGTCCATATTTGTGAAAAATAATAACATGAACTCTGTCTGGCTAAAGTCTAATCTCAAAGTTGATAGACCTGAAGAAGTCTGTGGTTGCTTTCACTGAACTATGGGAAAAGGTCTCCCTCCCATGCTTAAGTCAGACCATTACACTATTTTTTAAATATGGGGTGTGGTTATACAGTCTCAGGAAAACACTGTAATGTGGAAATAGGAAAACACTGTCAATGTACAGACGACTAACAAAGGGGCAGTTGTTTAAAGGTGTGGAGTTTGTCATCATCATTTCACCCAAATGAAAATAAACAAAAGTGGTCAGACTTATATATATGCATGACAGAGAACTAGTCCAAAGAAGATTCAGGAATCCAGAAGCCTGGAACTTTACTGTGGAAAAGGACCTTCGTGAACAAGTTCATCTCCTGCACTTTACACAAAATAAAACCAAGGTCAGCAGAATTTGTGTTCCACATGCCTGGTTACCATCAGTGTAGGCATGTGGACTCAGCCAAGGAGAAGGTATAGAATAAGACAAGAGGATGTGTGGGGGGCACTACAGGCTCTGGTTTGTGGGCTGGGCAGAGGAAGGCATCCAGTTAGGGGTAATGGCGACAGAGTAGAAAGGCCAAGAACTCTGATGTCTAAGGGAGCCTGGGAAGGAAATAATTTTAGGAAAGAGTCAATAGTTGTGTTGAATGTTAACAAGAGGTCTCAGAAAATCAGAATTGAGAAATGTTCATTAGATTTGTTGGTAATTGATCGGCGTGACCTTAGCAGACACATTTCAGTAGCATGATTACAATGGAAGATGGCCCCGTTGTAAGTAATGAATGGGGCAGTAAAGACAGTGCCCACATTCAATAAGCTTGAGAAGAGAAAAAGTAAAAGGTGGGGCAGTGGGCAAAGAACAGCTTAAAGGAAAACCTTTGGCAGAGAATGAGAGGAATAATTGAAACAATTTGGGGGAAGACAAAGACAACTAGAGTCTGAGCACAGGCTGATGGATCAGTCTTGATAGAAGGAGGTACAAGGTAGTTCTAGGATGGAACAGAAGGGAAAGGAATAGATGCACATTCAGCTAAGGGCTTCCTCAACTGAGTTTTTATTTTTATGTTTAACTTTTCAAACCATGTAGAGTTTATTTTGGTAAAGGCTGTAAGGTTAGAACCCCCCTTTGCTTATCACCTATGGTGAGTTTTGAATGAAAGGGCAATAAACAGTCAGCCCCGGGTCTAGACCCTCTTCACTCAGAGGGTTTAAACAAACTGCTCTTGGCAGCAAAGACCTTCCATCCTCCACTCATGAAACAGTTTCCTCATTCTCCAGATCCTTCTACCAGCCACAGAAATTAGGTTCTCATGCTATCAGGAAACACTGAGGAGATTAATGGGGAGAAGTTGAATTATCTTTCATCTGGGAAGGCTGGCAGTTTCTTAGCCTTGCCAACTATCTATTTTCTTTGCATGGTTTCTGCCAGAGGCGAGAGCAAGCAGCAAGTAGAAGAAAGGGGAATGGATGGCAGAGAAGAAAAAGAAAAAATAGAAAGAGGAAAAGACTTGCAATAGGGAAGACTTACTGCTGAAATCAAAGCAGAGAGCAGATTAGGAAAGAAAGGTCATCACAGAATTAAAAACTGCATATGTGTTTTTGTTTAAGATTATTTGGGTTACCTGTTGTATTGGATGATCCCAACTGTTTCCCTCTACCAATACACACTGCGAGATATCTGTTTGAGTCCCTTCCTGAGAACCAGAAGTTTGGTGTACAGAGTCAGTTATGATTCTTTCCTTCAGTAGAGCTCAAGGAAACATTACCTGAAAAGCTTTTTCAAAAGCAGCATCTACTTTAATATTCTTTAATTATAAAATCAGATATATGTTTCAAACTGGATTTAATACCTATTCACCTTCATCAGTCCACCTTTAATCTTAAAAATCTTTAAAACTTTTCTCAGGTGGGGAATAGAAAGTCTCTGAATGACTAACATGAAGCAGAATTTGGTCATTTAAATTCACCCCAGAAGTGCTGGCAATAGCTAAGTCCTCCCCAGCTTTAGAATTGTTGGGCCATGATGCAGCTCTGTTTCTTGTAAAGATCTGTCCATTCAACAAGCATTTCTTATATCCAGCAAAGGCTTCACATTGGGCTGATGACTGAGAATACCAAGCTATAATGAGATATAAAATTGGCCCTTCAGGGTATCATCGAGAATAAAGAGCAAAAATATTTTCTTAATTTTCACAATCTAATTTCTTTGGAGATTTGTGTAATCGCCCTCTTCAGAATTGCAAGACTGACAATATACCCCTGAGTTTTATCAGTGGAGCTACTTTATTATAAAAAGGCAAATGTACATAAAAGTTGGTTATGCAAAGTAAAAATTATAGATAAAGAGACTTCATCTAAAAAAGCAACACATGAGGATATAGGAAATGCCAACCATCCTTCCAGGAGGCAAAAGTAAACACACACACACACATACACACACACAACAGACACAACAAAAATCTTACCTGACTTGCCCACACCTGCTCTCCCAAATATCGCCAGTTTGACCTCTGCACTTTTAGCCATTCTGAGTGTTGGGTAGAAAATTCACTGTTGTTCAAACTAAAGAGCTGAGAAAATCTTTGGTTCCAGCCTTTGGATTTACCATATCATTGTAAATCTGAAATCTGAAAGAGATTTGGGATTTCATGATTCATATGTGACTAGAGAAAGGAATATTTATTAAATATTTCTTACATGCCAGCCAACATTACTTCATCAACATTTTATATTCCACTTTGATCTTCACTGAGAGGGTGACAATAATTTACTATAAATTATTCAATTAAAAAATTATAGACCCAGGACTTAAACTTGTATGTGCTTGTTCTAAAACATGCATTTTCTTGCATGATAGCATTTTCGAAAATATTTCCTCAAGGGGTTGTTTTAGGAGGCCATTGCTTTTGTCAGTAATTGATAACAAATACTTGAAGTATGTGATTACATGCATTTCCACATAGTTGTAAACATCCTATATACAAACACAGCTGCTGGGGAAGAGTCACATTTGGAATTCTTTATTTCCCTTTGGGCTGAATAATATACATTCATATTAGTCAATCCCATTGCAATACAATTAACTTTGCAATTCACAATTACTTCACACTAGATTACATGATCAAGTCACATGACAGACATGCATGTTCCAGGTATCGATATGTAACATCCTAATTATATTTTTCCAGACATAAAGCTCTGATACACAAGAAATAAATCCCATACCCGAACTTCTGATTCCCTTTCAAGCTAGTTTATGTTGTCATCCTAACACTTGAGAAATGACACAATAGATTTCCCTTGCTGTCAGAATGAAAGCATTCCTGCAAAATTCTCCTAACCCAAAATGGCAGTAAGTGAAGAAGCAATTACCATTCTATGTGGGAATTTTTATGAATCCCAGACCCAAAAAGTAACCTACCAGATTATACCAAATAACACATAAAACCAAAGCAGGAATGATATGATAAATAATAGCCTATAGAAAGTAGTTCCCAAGGGGTCTCCCTGGTGGTGCAAGGGGTTAAGCACAGCACTGTGAAGCTATCCATAGCTCTGCAGCATGAGTTCGATCCCTGACCAGGGAGCTACCCACATGGAACAGCAGACTTCTCCTGTCTTGCCCGCTGCTCCCCTCAGCAGTGTATTTCGGTAGATCTGCCTGTTCTGTTCCCCACTCTGTCTCTGGTGAATCCTCTTCGCGCGTGCCCCCCCACCCCCAGCACCTCTGGCCTATACCCCAGTTCTTGTATGCATAAATAGATAAATCTTTAAAAAAAAAAAAAAAAGAAAGTAGTTCCCAGGGAAGGAACTTGCTGGGGCTGATGCCTCCAGAATAGTTACTGCAAAACCCACGCTGATGCTGTTTAGAAATCATCTTTCTTTCTTTTAATGATAACAGTTACTAATGCAAATCTAAAAGCAAAGTGGCAAATCTACAAAAAGTTGGGGACACTTGTACACACAGTGTAAGCACATCTTAGATAGGTAGGTGCTTCAGTTCTCAGTTCCATGGAAATGTAAAGAGCCTATGGGTCAACCCAGGGAATGGTAATGCTCTAGTCACCGCAGGAATCCTTCCTGAAGATGTCATTTACCACTTCTAGGTATGGGGGACTTGGAGGTCAAGGAGGAGGGCAGTAAGCCAATTTTTTTTTTTCCTTTCACTCAGACCCTTTAGATAGCCTAGCAACTATTAGGAACCTTTGTCCCATTTAAGCTGCTGCTTTCTAGGAAAAGGCCCAGCATCTCTCTTGTTCTCCAGGGGAATGTATGTTCTTGTTTATGTTTTTTTGACCTTCACCTTTCCTGTTCACCATATGCAGCTCTCTCCCCCCTCCCTTGCCTTAAAGCACTCTGAAAATGTGGTATCCACTGCATGCATGCACCACTTGAGATGTGACCTGATGAAGTGATCCAGCGAAAAGTTCACTGAGATTTTTCCTGTCTTTTCTCTGGCTGTGTGGCCGTGTTGTACTACAGCCACTCAAATGAAGGCTACATCTTTCATACAAACTGCAGACTCCCCTCTTTGGAATGTCTGCAGTCAGTGCTTCAAACCCCAATATAAGACTTTCCTTTTATCCTTGTTAAATTAAAATAAAATGAAGACAAACTCTATTCATTTCACCCATTTTCCCAGTTTGTAAAAATATTTTTGAAACACAAATCCATGATCTAAACATGCAAATGGCTCTTGCCAGCATTTTGTCGTCTACAGATATTCAAAAGAGCTTCTTCAGGGAAAGAAAGTAGTGAAAATCGTTCTGCAAGAGTAATTCTAAAATGCATTAAGATGTGATTTTTTAAAAAGATTTATATGTATATAAGAGCTGGGGTACAGGCCAGAGATGCGGGGGATGAGAGGATCCACCAGAGACAGAGTGGGGAACAGAACAGGCAGATTGATCGAAGTACACTCCTGAGGGGAGCAGCGGGTGAGTCAGGAGAGGTCTGCTGTGCCATGTAGGTAGCTCCCTGGCCTGCGGCCGGGGATCGAACTCGTGCTGCAAAGGCTGTGGAATGCTTCATAGTGCTGTGCTTAACCCCTTGCACCACCAGGGAGGCCCAAGATATGGTTGTTTTCTTTATGATACATCTAAATCATCAACCTGTACCTAACATATTTTGTGTTCACTGATTCCCATAGTGCCAGGGCCTCCTCTGGAGGACACTAAGGTCAACATTACCATTACATTGGCTCTTGTTTAGTTCATCCCCAATGATGGGAAAACTTCTTAGTAATAATTAATAGAACAACATCCAGAAGCTTTAACATTTGCAATTTGTCCAGTCCCATATTTTTGGCTAAAGATAAAAGCATTTCCGTCTTTGCCATTTTATATGCATTCATTAAGAAAAAGGCTCATGTTTAAAGTTCATTGCTTCCTTACAGAAGCATCATGGAAACATACCACATGGAGATATTGTCTATACGTAAATTCTAAGGAAGAATCACAAACATTTCTTTGAAACATAGAGCATGCACATGTCTGGAGCTTATATAAACTATAATTTGTTATTTCATGCAAAACTGTTCATTCCCATACACATAAACTCAAAATAATTATCTGATTTATGCTTCATGTATATAGTCATCAAATGTGATTTTTTAGAAAATGAACATTTGTTAACTCAAATATTTCAGTAACTCCCAAATGGCCTCAGAGGCATAGGAATTTCATATAAGATAGTGATACTTCTTTTCATTTATAACCTAATTCAGTTAGCTATTGACAAAATGTTTAGAAAAATCATTTGAAAGAAGGCAAAGCTGACATATTTCCTTCACATGTGAAAAGTTATATTTGATATAGAAAACAAAGTTGTTGTCATGAATGACATGCTGCCAAGTTTCTTATGTTCAGAATAATTCAACCGAAGATTTCCCATAACATGGACCTAGGAAAACATGTCTTCACGTTATTGCAGAATTGTTTTGGTTGGGTCTAGAAGTTGCCATTCACTTTTTTAGGTGGACAGTGCTTTCTTTAGACCCAAAACTTCTAAATTCCTATCACGCCTAAGACTAAAGTTACACCTAGCTATGTCTGAGATTAAAACCTGATTTTCTTACCTATTTAGAGAAAGATTTCATTTACCATAAATCATTCCTAACACTATATTTATCTAAGTCCATGCTCTTTACTTCCTTTTGGAGGGGTTGGGGGAAGAAAAAGCAAGCATCTTTATAAGGTTATTGTTTTTCTAACTTCTCTATTTATGTTATCATCAAAATACAGGGCAGAGGTAGGGTTTAGGGAAGCAAACCATCTAGTCTGGTCGTGGGAATGAGATTCTCTTTGGGCTGCTTTTTCTCTAGCTCTGAAATCAAGTTTTCTGTCTCCTGATCAGGAATTCTCCCTCCTCATACAATGCAGCAGCTGCAGCAGGGAGGAGGGTCGGGCAAGCCCCTGGCTGTGGCATTGCTCTGAAAGCAACAGGTATCCGGGAAGGATAAACAAACACGCCCATAGTGGACTGCAGGTCCCAAGCTCTCAACCAAGGAAGCAATTGCAGCCTAAGTCTAAGGGCATCCTCCTAGGTCTCAGCCAGGAGGGCACCGTCAAGCTCCAGTCGTGGGCGCCCACACTCCCTCTCAGCGAACCCCATAGCCGCCCTGGGGGGACCCAGTGGCCAGGAGGACTGCCCCACAGGCCGACCGTTCAGGGGCTTGGAAAGGTCTGCAGGAAGTCATCCCGACAGAGCCACCTGGGCACATGCGTGACTCACCTGTTCGCACTCTCCAGGCCCGGAGAGCCGCGGTCCCCTGCAAGTTCGGAGTCGCTCCCGCAGCCCTTGCACGCGGCGCTGCCCAGCTGGCGGGGAGTTTGCAGGCTGCGATCGCGGGTGGGAGCGGCCGCAGCAAGTGCGGGCGGGGGCTGCGGGGTGTCCGCGCTGGCGCTCGCTCCGACTAGCGGCCGAGGGACTGCGGCAGGACGCAGCTCTGCCCGCCGGGCCCCTGCGCTCCGCCACAGGATGCTGCAGTGCGGCGCTGCGGCGCCCCCTACCGGGGCCGGGCCAGGCTCCTCCCGTCCCGCCATGCTGCCTCCCGGGCTGGAGAGCTGCAACCTGCCCCTTTTGCGGCACCCCAAACAGGCGTCCCTTTCCCTTCATAGGTTCTGGGCCTGTGGGGCCTGGCCGCAGGACATCTGTCCTTGGCTTCAAACGTTGCGTGTGAAAGCCTCACTAGGTGGTGTTTACTGTTCCTTACTTCAGGTGATCCTCACAGCCTCCCTTGGAGGAACTGTTAATTATCCTTGATACCCAAGGGGAAACCGAAAGAAGGGATAAAGAACTCGCCCAAGGCCTAGCGCATAGTTGGAATGAAATCCAAGTATGGATTTCAGGATTTCATTGGAGGCTGATTCACTGATTGGAAGCTGAGACATGCTGCAAGAGCCATAAATAATAAATTCAATTGACATGCATATCTGTATTGGAGAAAGTCCCAAGAGCTGCACGTTCTCCTCCCAAGATCAGCATGTATAACATTTGAAGTCATGCGCCTTCGCCCTTAGACTTGAACACAGAAGAGTCATCTTCGTGCTGGACTAGACCTGCTTTCACCTCTCTCATCTCATTTTGGTATTGTCATTATTAGCCTTTCATCGATGAGGTGAGTTTGGAGAGCCCCAGTGATTTCCCCAAAATGCAACTTCTGTCCAAAGGATCAGGGGAACACCAAGACTTTATTTTTTCCGTTCAAAGTCTGTATGTTCTTTCCAAGATATCAGGTGGCCTCCAGAAAACCACTGTGACCTGGGAGAGAGGGGCATAGGGCCCAATGAGGAGTCTGCTCTGAGTCCTTGATGGAAGAGATATAACCATGGAGTCAGCTCCCAGGGCTGGGCTGACCTGGAAAGCCACTGCAGCCACTAGGGATGGGCCAGGCTGAATGGAGTAGCTGATCCATGCAGAAGTTGGAATTGCCTGGTTGCATCTGACTTCCTGATCACAAATCTATCATCTGTATTCTCTTCCCAACATGTACCTGAACTGGAGAACCTGTTCACGCACAGCACCCTGTGATCAACCATCATGTTTGCATTGTACTCCATTTTCATTTCTCAGCCTTCATCAAGCCTTGCACTTTCTGAATAGAGGGGTGTAGTGTCTATACCTCTACTCCAGTGCTGCACGTGGTGACTATTCAAAAAATAGTTGTTGAGTGAAGGAATAGAAAGACAGAGGATATGTTTGGCTATCTTACATGCTGCATGTGGGACAGAATAGCCAGCAAGAAGTTGAACATATAGATCTGAAGTTCAGGTAAAAGACCTTCTCCCAGCCAGCAGGAAGTCTTTGAAACCTGACTGAGGAAGGAAAGACTTGCCCAGAAATTTTGTACTTTGTGGTATTTGGGTCTTACTTTCTTTCACAATAAAATCCTATATTCATGAAAGGATTTAGTAAATGCATGTCCCACATACAGAAATTTTAGTTGAAGTGCCCACTGTGCCTCTCTTATCTTATTGGAGATAGTACAGAGTGCTCAAGCTAGGTCCCTTTTATTTTAGTTTTTTGGAATCTTATCTGTGGAACCTGTTTCTCTCCATTTTCCCACTTTGCCCTCCCACAGAGACTGGCACTCTTCTCTCACCGAGGGACACATTAGTATACACACCTGCAGATGGTGACATGCTGCTCCAAGGAATATGACTAGCTGTACTGGAACCTGACACCCGTGTGCAATAGCTTCAGTATGTATCCTGTCAATGGGTGTCCTTCCTTTGTCTCAAAAGCAGGAAAAAGGAACCATTACTGCCTGCTGCATAGATCAATAAGAACAGCAGAGGAGGCCTAGCTCTTACAGCTCCACAGTAGGTTCTTACTGGGTAGAAATCCTCCTGGTGAGAGATCTTGTCATACTCCAGTCTCTTATCCTGGCTTCAGCCTTAAGCTAAAACCTTTAACACAAAACCTGTAGATGAAGAGTCAGTTCAACACCCCGCTCATTGGACTTGTGTGTGTATGTTATTTTATGGAGTATGTGTGGTCACATGTGTGTAGTTGTGTGTAGTATTCATTGTAAATAATTCAAGTTGTAGGAAAAAAATATATAGAAAATCACCCCCAAAATCACACTCTCCAGAAAGAACCATTGTTACCATATGAGCATTGTTCCTTCTATGGAGAAAACACAGATGAACTGTTAGATATGTAAACCAGCATGTACATATACTAAGTGCTGTTAGCATTTTTTTTTTAAAGATTGATTTATTTATTTATGCATAGAAGAACTGGGGTATAGGCCAGAGGTGTGGGGGGTGAGAGGATTCACCAGAGACAGAATGGGGAACAGAACAGGCAGATCTACTGAAAGGCACTGTGAGGGGACCAGCGGGTGAGTCAGGATAGGTCTGCTGCTGCATGTGGGTAGCTCCCTGGCCTACCAGGGATTGAACTCGTGCTGCAGTGACTGCGGACAGCCTCATATGTTGCGTCTTAACCCCTTGCGCCACCAGGGAGGTCCTGTTAGCATATTTTTAATAAATGGATGCTATTTTAGTAAAAAAAAAAACACTTGAATAGAATGTAATTAAAGTGAAACTTAAAAGATGGCAGAACTGTAAATGTTTACTTACCTCATGAACTATTTTATCCTAAAGATTCCTATAAAGTTAAACTATTACATAAACTCAAGCCTGAATTCATAACGTTTAACACTATATTTGATTATATTTATACTTATGGGTTATGTATACATTTGTTTATATTTAACCACAAATATTTTTTCTCAATATCAATTGACTTCTTGCTATTTAACAAGGAGGAAATCATCCCTCTCACTTACTCCTCTCACTTCCTTTCCCTCCTATATTTTTACTTCTGTACTACCTTCTCATTGTCAGGATTAGAATGTTTGCATTTGTTCTGTAAATCTCATTCCCAAGGTGCTTTCAGCTAAGTCAGATAATCAAATGGAATGAATTTACTTAAGTTATTTTAACATAGCTTTTGTATTATCCTTTATTTTGATTAAGCTCTTCATTTTTTTATTAACTGATGTTTTCAGTAGGGCCTTTTAGGTGTGATGTTTTGTAATTGAAAATACCTATCTCCTCTTTTAGCTATTTTTATTTACTCACTACCAGGCTCTTTCCTTTTCTGTATAACTTATTTTGTGTTTATTATGTTATTTTTAATACCATATTTTCTGTGATACACAGTGAATGAAATCCACTTGGCTCTGGTCCTCTGACACCTGTTGTTTTTTCTGTGGAGTGATGGTTTATAGATTGAACATTTCACTCTTTCTACCAGCCTGACATGAGAAGAGGAAGCAAAGAGAAAAGGTCCTTTGAGTCTCTATGAAGCCTTTTCATACTCCGCTTTTCTTCTTAGGTCTAACCCGGTCCTTTAGCATGACTGAGTGTATGCATCTGGATTACCCACCATTCCAAAGAAAAGATTTCCTCATGCTTGCCATGGCTCCCTCATTCATTCTTGGAATCTTCCCTTACTCTGTCCCCTAAGCTACTTCCATTGTAACTACTCACACTGTCAGCTGTAAGGAAAGGATGAGGATGGTTGCTCGGGTCATTTCACTCCACGCTTGGAGGTATTTATTACTGGTGAGGGGGAATACTCAAATCTAACATCTCATCAGTATTGCTTCTGGATGGTAGGTCAGTCTACACCACAACCTTTTATTCCCTTAGAAGATTCATTTTGAAGTTTTATGGCAAAAAATCATATCTCTTTCCTTGTTTTGCTGGTGCTAATGGTCATTTTTTTGACTCAAGAGGGTATTTTATTGTTGCTGTGGTTTATTTAGTTTTCTATTAGACAAGGGCAAATTTGATTTTTGCCATAATTGGAATTTACCTTTGACTGAACAAATATAAAAGCTGACCCCAATATTGGAACCACTCATAAAACAATCAATGCAGGGACACAATACCAGACAGAGGGAGTACACTTGAGCTCAGCCCCACATTTGCCCAAGTTTTCTCCTTGGGGCCATCTTGAGTTCATGAGTCAGGAAAGTATAGTCCATACAATAGTAAGATATTAGAGTTCATGACTATGAATGCAGCTGAGAATTTTACAAATATGATTAAAAATAGAATGTCTTAAAAAAAATTCCATGAAACCCAAGCAAGAAAAATTAAAAAAAAACAAACAGGCCTATAACCATGTATATCACAATGAACTTGCTGAAAACCCAGGTAGAGGCCAAGTCAGGCTGTAAAGAAAAAAAAAAGACATTCTTTCAAAGGTAAAAAAAGTTATGGAATTACATCTTTAAAGTCCCAAACTAGAATTCTGTATTTACTGAAATAAATCAGTCTCAAACATAATTTGGAAATTCATTGCCTGCAAAACAATGAAAAAATATGAGGAAAGTAATTGCAGAAAAAATTCAAGTACTAGCAGCAACTTCAAATAGGGTAAATTTTTGTAAAAATAAGTAATTTGCAATAGCCAAGCTATGGAAACAACTTAAGTGCCCAAATACAGATGAGTGAATCAAGAAGATGTGATAAATACACACAGTGGAATACTATTCAGTGATCAAAAAGGTAAACTCATGTCATTTGTGGCAACATGGATGGAGCTGGAAGGGATGATACTGAGTGAAATAAATCAGAAGGAGAAAGACAAATACCTGATGGTGTCACTTATATGTAGAATATAGTGAATTCAAATAAATAGTCAGATAAAGCCAAACTAAGAATGAATCCTAGAAAGTTGACTATAAAACTGAGTCTACCAAAGGGAGAGGGAAGGCATGAGAGCAAAGTTGGAGGGGGTGCAATGGATGATGGTGGTAGACTATGTGTGTCTTGGTGGTAGATGTAGTATGGTACACTTGAGAGGGGAGATCCCATATTTCTGATACACCAACATGATGTAAACCAGT